GGCCTGTGGAAAAGTGAGGGGGGGGGGGGGGGGGGGGAAGCGGGGGTCCGCCCTAGGCCTGCCAGGCCTCATATTTCCTCATAAAGAAGAACGTGAAATTATTTCCAGATGTCAGTCCGCGTCCGGCGTGCCCCTGGAAAGCAGCAGCGGAGGCCATTAATACTCATTTCTCTTCTTCTCCCCAAAGGTTGTGTCGCATTTGTCAAAGTCTCGCAGTGTGCGCCCCCGGTCCTGAGCTTGTTAGCCGCGGTCAGGCAATTGCGGGAGCGCGCGCTGCAAAATGAACAGACGTCGCTCTGGAGGGCATTGTGCCGCCTCTGTGGGGCTCCCCGGCCTCCGGCTCCACCGCTGAGGCCCGCGCTAATGACGGCTCGCTCCTCCGGACTGATGTGGATTAAACAGAGAGATGAGGCCTCACCGTCCTATGGAAAGTCCTCGCCGCTGTCCTGTGTGTCCGGGGGAATATTTCACAGCCGCACCGTAGGGGGGCCGCGCAGAAACCTTCAAAAAACAATTGCTTGTTTTGTCCTCTTTCTCTCAGCGATTGTTTTTCATCAGTTTGTAGGAAGAAAAAACTAAAAATAAATAACTAAACAATATATATATATACACCGATCAGCCATAACATTGTGACCACCGAGAGGTGAGGTGGACAATATTGATTATCTGGTTACAAGGGCACCATGCCAAAAGTATTGGGACGCCTTTACACGCACATGAACTTTAATGGCATCCCAGTCTTAGTCCGTAGGGTTCAGTATTGGGTTGGCTCCGCCCTTTGCCGCTATAACAGCTCCGCCTCTTCTGGGAAGGCGTCCACAAGGTTTAGGAGTGTGTCTATGGGAATGTTGGACCATTCGTGAGGTCAGGTACTGATGTTGGGGGAGGGGCTCGCAGATCCGCTCTAATTCATCCCAAAGGTGTTCTATGGGGTTGAGGTCAGGACTCTGTGCGGCCAGTCACATTCCTCCCCCCCAAACTCCCCCATCCGTGTCTTTATGGACCTTGCTTTGTGCACTGGTGCGCAGTCATGTTGGAACAGGAAGGGCATCGGGAGATAGGAATTCCACACCCCTGCTGCCCCTCTACTCCCTGCTGCCCCGAGGCTGGGCCTTGGTTGGCCTCGTGGGAAATCCGGCCCTGAATGGGCCCCCAAAATGTCGGAACAAAATAAAAGATAATCATACGTAGTGCACGCATTTCCCTAAGTTTCACTTGCTTAAAAACTGAAATATACCTGTTGTCCTGCCAGAAATCTAGTGAGCTCCTGACTTCCTGTTTGGACTGACAAGGCTGTCCCTGCTGCACTGGAATCCCAATGAGTGTTGTCAGCTCCGCCCTGCTGGACTACAGGACTCTGTCTATCCCCGCCCCTCTCTGTCCCTCCCCAAGTGTATACCTTGATTTCCTAAGGTAAAAGAAACAAATATATACTTGGACATGCTCCTAGTGGGGGAAGTATTGGGCAAAATTTGGGTAACGACTAGGTATACCCTTTAACACTTTTGCTGCCAGCGCCATATCCCTTAGGGCTCTGGCTTGGGGCTCCTATCAACAGACTCTTGGTGGACTCTGAAAAGCCCGCCACCAGATCACTTCCCCGGGCTGGTGAACAGAGCCCCCCTGCCCAGCGCCCCACGCCTTGCTTCCCCTGCCTCTCCTGAGGGCCTGGGACTGTCATCACGGGGGTGTTGGCTGGAAGTGGGTGAGGGACCAACGAACATTCAATATGGTGCAAACGTTCCTAGGACAGGAAGCATGCTAGCTGCAATTGAAGCAATTTAAATATTGAACATCTGTGTGCATATGGGCACATATCTATCACTGTATTATTAAGCATTGTAGAGGATGCTGTTGACACTGCCCCTGACCCCCCGTGACACTTCCAGTCAAGAAGAGTTGACGTTAGACATACAGGAGGTGATCTCAGAATGTTGCTCACCAGTCATAGATCCCCATTTGCAGGCTGTGCAGTAAGGGGAACTTTTCTTATCTGTCTTAGCAGTGTGAATGTATTGTATACTAAGAGTCCAGGTCTGATCTACTGTCACCACCCCTTAGTGAGCATCAGTCAGATCTTATTAAAGATTTGTGACTTGGTCAGCAGTGTAGTCGAACAGCAGTGGGGGGTCGGGGGGCACGTTGTCACCAATGCTAGCTCAACAACCATAGCTCAGTGCAGTAAGGGGAATTTGTTGATTTGTCTTAGCAGTGTGAATGTATTGTATACAGTGGCGTAACAATCGCCATAGCGACCCAAGCGGCAGCTATGGGGCCCGGGGCACAGGGGGGCCCGGCCAGATGCCGTGCGGGCCGCCTGGGTCACTATGGCATCCTCTGCTGGTGGCTTTCACTGGCGGCTGTGAAGAGGAACACGCCGCTGTTCAGATCACTGACAGTAATCTGTGCAGCAGCGCGTTCCTCTCCACATCGGCTGCTGAGTCAATGAGAGCCAGCAGCGGCGGTGGAGCAGGCTGGAACCGGCAGTGGAGGAGGAGGCGGGGCCCAGGTTCGACAACAGGGGAGGAGGTGGAGCCCGGTGATGGAGGAGGAGGCGGGGCCCATCAGCGAGCGTGGAGGAAGAGGAGGCGGACAGGTAAGGAGTGCGACCAGCCCACCAGAGGGAGACCCAGCAGAGCCCACCATAGAGACTCTATGGTGGGCTCTGCAGGGTCACCCTCAAGTGGGCTCTGCAAGGGGTATAACTAGAAATCACAGGGCCCCATACATAATTTTGCTATGAGGGCCCTGTGATTTCTAGTTACGACCCTGATTGTATACTAAGAGTCCATGCACAGATCAGAATGGGACGAAGTGCTTAATGCACTTGGTGCCCTGTGGGATTCCATGAGGATTTAAAAATTGTGGTGATACTTATTGTTTGAAGAAGTTTGTATTCAGGTTGTAGAGTCAATATGTGATGCAGTAATAACAAATATGCAAAGTATTGCATGGGATGGTCATTATTCTTACAATTTGTTTAAAGGAGAACTATGGGGTCAGTGCTTTTCCTCATAGTTCTCCTTAGGGTAACAGGAGGACACAAACTAACGTTCCTACCATCACCCAAAGTTCAGTGTATAGAGAGCTACAGCTCGCGGTATACTGAGACGCCGCAGCCGGAGCGGAACCCGACATCGATGTCTGGATCCGCCCAGCTGCGTGAGTGACAGCTGGCTCTGCCTATCTAGAGGCAGAGCCAGCTGTACCCGCCCCCTCCCCCGTCCGTTCCGTCAGTCAGCGCTGGAGGATCGGAGCGGGGAGGGGGGAATCCAGCCCCTCCCCTGTCACGGCAGAGAGCCGTGACAGGATCGAGAGGTGAGCGAACGCCGGTATGTGTTCCCTCACCTCCCGATCTACTGAGCCGACCTGTGACAGTCTCATTGTCACAGGTCGGCTAGAACTATGAGGATGAGTGAAAAGCACCCCCCCCCCCCCCCATAGTTCTCCTTTAAAGGCTACTATACACAACTTATTCCAGCACTTGCTTGAAGTGGCAGTGAAAGGGATGGGAAGGCTTCTACCATGTAACTATGTTACACCGAGGCCCTGAGATCCGAGATACTGAAGAAGTCTGGTGATCCACCGAGCACAGAGCGGTTATCTGGAATATTAATGATAAAAGTTACTTCCATGTAATGATACTTTCCTATTCCCTGACAACTTCTGTCCACAGCTCTGCTCCCTAGTATTGTACTGACTATTCTGACAGCTCTCCTCTTACCTGTTCTTTATTTAGACACACTTTATGTTAAGATCAATGACAGTAGAAAGGGGGTCCCGTCAATGGGTTGCTATGGGACGGGGCTCTGCGGTTATGCCCCTGCTTGCGCAGCATCTAGTTCACCTGAAAGGATCTTTTTTTCCCTTTCTTCGACCAAACCGGAGTCTCGTTTTAAATCTCTTTGGCTCAGTCCCAATGCGGTTTGTGGCAGCGTGTGTTTTCCTTCCCTCCAAACTCTCCTCGTACTAAACAGAGATGAAACGGCGAGGTGGAGGCCAGGGGGGCGGCAGCCCGTAACCTATTTTCAACACAAAAAATTCCGGAGGTGTGTAAATGGGAAAAAAGCCACCGGACCTTTTTGGTGTTCGAACGTCTCGTTAGAACCGCCGGCTCCCTTTGAACACATGACATTTATGACTCACGAGGAAACCCAGCCGACAGGCCACCAGTACCTTTTTCCCCACCGTATGTCTTTTTGTTTCATATCTGCTAAAGAGCAATTTCGCCCGTTTGAACGAGGACGAAAAAAAAATGTCTTTTTCTTCCTTAAAAGGCTCAGATGATGTTAGGAAAGGGAGAAAAGAAAGGAGAAAGTACTCAACTCTGCTTTTTAGAAGAAGAAAAAAAAAGCCATTGTAACAATGTATCCTTTGATAGAGAACAGAGCGGCGTAGACTGTTCCAATACAGGGCACGCAGACTGTCTTCACAAAGCACAAGGAGCCAGCAGCCCGTGGCGGCGTAGTACCTAACGTGAAGCTCTTGTCAACCTCGTGTGATACGAGACACAAAAAGTCTCCGCCGGAAAGAAGCAAAGAATTCCCGATCAGCAAAAGTTTTCTGTAAATCCAAAAGGAGTCGATGCAAAAGAAAGGAACGACGGTTAATATCCATCATGAATTATGCTGAACATTATGCGGGGCCCCTCGGGGGTTACATAGCCAATGCTTTCTGATCATGCTCAGCAGCAAAAAAAAAAACAAAGTATAATGGGGTTCTCTGCCATCTTCATTTTAAAGGGGGCACCGATATAGACGTAGCCAAACGCCACAGGGTCTCGGCACAAAAGCTGGAAAAAAAGGGGCGCTTCGTGTCATGTACAAAATCTTTTCTGGGGCCCAGATTAAAAAAAAAAAAAACTTGTAAGTGTTTCACAGCACATGGAAAAATCCGAAAATGAAATAAAATGATTATATACAATATAATCCTACTAGAGATTTCACCGAAGGGGGAGAGAAAGCGGCCTTTGTGTTCATTTCAAGTATTTTGTATAACGTCAACATATTGCTTTTCCAGTCCTGGAGGAGATTTCAAGTATATCGAAAGTCATTTTTGTTTATCATTTTGTTTATGGTATTTGAGAAGTTGAAACCCCTGAAAAGTTTTTCCCCATTGGGGAGATTTCCCTTTACTCCCCCTCCCATAGACGCAACAGGAAGTTAGTGATATCTCCTCAGAGAGCCATCACCGGAACACGTGTTCCCATTGGTAGAGATGGGGGTCGGGTTAACCCCTATCATGGGTTCCAGGCGAATCCTGCTGGTCCCAGCAAATCTATGTGGCAATTCACTGGGGAGATTTTTTTTAAAACATAATGCCCTTTGAAAGGTGTTAAGCATGCTTCAAAGGGCCAATGAGGGAGCTTTTGGTGAAGCCAGC